CTGACTCACTCTTGCTTGCATATTTATACCTGCCTCTGGAAATTTCCACTACATGCATCCGAAGAAGTGGGTATTCACCCACGAAAGCTCATGCTCCTATACGTCTGTTAGTCTATAAGGTGCCACAGGACTCTTTGCTGCTTTTAGAGAGAGTTAAACATACATCTTTGTACACATCAGTGAAGTCAACACTATAAACATGAACTACAAGGCTATTCCCACTTAGAGAAGCAAGAGGAGGGAGAACAAGCTTTTTGAAGCCAAAGATCAAGCTTTCTTCGTATGTCAGTGATGGACATATTAGAGGAAGAGAGAAAAAACACATAGACCAAACTCTGCTCAGCTTAGCCATGCAAGTAGCCCCATTGAATTTAATGAGATAATGTGTATGAAGAAGGCAGTACGAAAAATTTGCCCCATAGATTTAAACCACTAAGGATCCTCCTGAACGAAATGTAAAATATCTCCCCTTTTTGCTTTAATAATCCCCCTCAGCAGAATCTTATCTTCTTCTTCTGAGAGTTGGCTCCTCTAACCTGAAGTAATTCAGAAGAAATTTGTAGATTTGTAGGCATCACATGGTGCAACCCCTGGCCTGGAAGGAATTCCTGCTGCACTAACTGGTGCTGATGTTCACAAAGACCTTTATTTTTTTAATTGAACTTAAATAGAAGTCCTTTCATAGAGCAAGCATACAGGCAGTATAGAAACTGACCTATTCTAGGGCACACACAAACAAAGAGAAGCGCTGATTTCAGGAACATTTGAAGACAGACACTGGTTTTCTTCTTCTCGTAAAATAGGTAACATCATTGCCAAATGTTTCTCTGTGTAAATAAATCAGTAAATAAATTACCAGGGCAGCTGCAGCCATCAGCACATTGTCCTTGACAAACTTCATTGATATTCAGACTCTGGCAGGTTTTGACACAAGGAGATACACACTCCTTATACTCCATGCCAACTGGACATCTTGGCCCTGAAACAATTAAACAAAATTAGAAATACATATCCCTTAATAACTGTTAATCTCTTTAATTATTGTAGAACAAATGACCAGTGTCAGAGATGAGGTCAGATCCTCTCTGATCAATGATTTCATTTTCGGGAACAAAATATTTAATAGATGTTAATTTTGTTGCTTAATTTGACAGTTGCATCTGCCGCTCTGTTCTATACAAGAACAAGACCTCTGTGAAAGCTTGAAAGCTTATATATTTCATCAACAGACGTTTGTCCAGTAAAGATATTACCTCACCCGCCTTGTCACTTTGTTCTATAGACATGTTTAAGGTTAAAAAAAAATTGTTTTTTCACAAATCACGTATCATCCATGTAAAGAAAGCAAATTACGTGACAATAATTCTGAGTGGAATCTGTGTGCTCCATTACTGAGAAAAGCCCTCCAAGGATATCTAGCTGCTTCCGATACAGAAATAGATTATTTACCTCCTAAAGACCCTCACATTTGTACAGCTCATTCACTGTGTCACACTGATGTCTTGTATTGCCAGAGAGAAGTGAATCAGGTGTGGGACCTGGAAATCCCAAAATATATCCTGGAGCTGGCCCAGCCTTAACATGCATGGGTTCATCTACCACATATCTCCTCGGCTTCTTTTTATGAACTATCATCAAATGACATTACTCATGGGACACACATAGCATGGCAGAGACAAATTTACCCAGAATGCTTGTATCAAAGGGCCCTCTGGTGACAACCACATGGACTGATTTGCACTGACAACACTACACCACGCAAGCAGAGTTTCTTTGCTGGGCAAGATGCTTCAGTAAAAGATAACACAAAAGAAAGCAATGTCCTCACATTAGGATTAGTGCACAGAGTACTCTTTCCCAGGGGACCATATGCCACACAGGCCTCACGTCTCTAGGAAGCAGCATAAGGTCCTCATCAGCAGAAGAAAAATATATCTAAGCTTGTCGTGACAGATATCCTTCAATATCCTGGACATTGTGGAATTAAGGTAAAATTTACTGAGGTTATATTTACACTGTGCACCTTATAGCAGCACAGCTGTGCCGCTACAGCCATGCCGCCATGTAAGGAGAGAGCTCTTCCGCCAACAAAATAAATCCGCCCCCAATGAGAGGCGGTAGCTTTGTGGTCAGGAGAGCATCTCCCACCGACAAAGCACTGTCCACACCAGTGCAGCGTAGACAAAGCCTGGGGTAAGTTTAATGCCCTCGGGGTCCGTTGTATTAAAAATGCAATTGTGTATTTGTTATTGGGAATTGTTTGTAATTTCTCTACGAGACTGACTAATGCAATTTCTGGGAAGGATTAGAAACTTCAAAGGACTTTTAGGATAATACATGCGAAGTGGATTTCCTTGGAAATACTGGGTGTGAATAGACTGCAAATGACTCATTGTGGGGGTGTTCATCCTTTTGAAGCTGTGCCTTGTGAACAACCCATTGTCCACTAATTACCTGCTCCTGGAAACTCCAGATCAAAGACCCCTAAAGGGTAGGCTAAAACTTTTCATGAGTGTGCTAGTTCTGAGCTGAGGCTGTTATGAACTTGTGATCAAGAAGAGACTCCTTGGTGGGCTTTGAAGGACTCATCACCTGCCTCAGCCCTTGTTCGAGTTGAGGTGATCTGTGGTAAGCTTATTAGCATATGTGTAGTTCTTGTATTGGTTTTCATATGTTTTCGCAGCAGTGCTTTTACTGTAAGAATAAAATGTGCTTGCATAGAAAGAACTGCTTGGTAAATCATAACTGTGGCCAGCTACACTGTTATTAGTCTCTGAAGAGCAAGCAAGCAGGCCTGCTTAGGCAGACTGACTGCCGGTGAATTCATAGCATAATCAGGGAGCTGTTCAGTCTGGGTCAGAAGGGAGAGAGATGGAGGTCTCCACCCAACAGACGTGATGCTGGGGAGCAGGAAACTTGCTGGGTCAGAGATGGGGAGTACAGGTGCAGTGGCCTAAACTCTGACACTTATCTCCTCCCCCAAAGAGTAAACAAGGACAAACAAATGCTGTTGATCTGTGGGTTTGACTAAAACCATAAATGAAAATAAACCTCCCTTCCCAACAGGATGGAGAATGGTTCTGGCCCTCCCCACTGGCAAACCAGGGGCTTGATTTTCCGTGCCCCACACCTTGTGTAGTTATTTCTGTCAGTGCAAGGAGAGTGTAATGTGGATGTAACACACTACCAGAACAGAATGGCAGCATCTTACACACACTTTGTACTAGTGTTAAAAACTATACAAAGTGCAGGGCAACAGAGAGACTCATACCCCAAGGAAGTAAGATGGCCTCATTTATTAGCCCATCTCTCCTGACTGGCAGCTCATACAGATGTTCTGGAAGAGGGCAGGTTCTCATCTCTTCCCTCACAGACTTTTAGCAGCTTCTTTGACCTGCTGGGTATTGGGTATGAACACCCTGTCACCTGACCCTAATGAATGTGTACTTCCCTGGTCAAAATAGGGTGATCATGTCTTGAGTCACATCTTATTCTGGAAGCTTATTGGCAGAGTTAGAAATCAAGCCACCTCATCCCAAAGCTCATGGCTGGCAGCACTCTACTGATAATGGAGCCACATCATGGATAGACAGTCCCATAGAGAAGATTCAAACTAGTAAAGAACGAGCCAACAAAATAATCTTGCTGGATAAACCAGGACAGGAGTAAAAGCTTTTTCTGACAGACCCTCTCAACTGCAATGTATAGATCTGTGGGTTAAGCAATAATAGCCTCACGGGGAAGCTTTGGAATCGTAATGATATAGACTTACTACACGAGCTGTCGTTGGGCCAGCCATCCACGATCACTCCTTGCTGAGCACAGCTCCTGGCATACTCAAGGAAAGTTGGACAGTGACAGTGCATGTCCTGAGCACAGGTGCACATATCTTCTTCACAGAGACCAATGAATAGCTCTGGATCAACTCGATGGTGGCATTTGGAGAATACTGAAGATGTCCTTAGCAGCTGGCACCTTTCCATGATGTCCTGCATAATTAGAACAAGTGAGGGGGAAAAAATCAAAATATTGTTACAAACTGTTTAGATCAGTGTTCCTCAACCAGTGGGTCATGATCTGTGGGGGGATGGTATGAAAGACAATCTGGGGGATTGTGGGGCTTTTAATATAATCTAAAGCAAAAGAAATGTTACTCCTCCACCCCCCACACACTGTTACCCTTCAAGGTCAATTATTAGAGTTTTAGTGTCATAAATTGTAGGGCCAGACAGGACCACCAGATCATCTAGTCTCACCTGCTGTACATCACAGGCCAATAAGCACCACCCAGGCACCTCCACACTAAGTCCAACAACCAGAATTATACCAAATTATTACATCCCTCAGGAGACTAAACTATTATGTGGCACAGGCAGAGAACAGAAAGGACCGATGTGCATCAATGTACCTTGACACACACACACACAAATAAATTATATCAATGACAACAATAAGTCTAATATTGTATTGCCCAATTCTAATATTTTTATCTAGACCCTGTTTTTTCACTGCAGGATTAGAAGATGAGTAAGTGTCACAGAAGTCATGGGAGTTACTCTGACCCTTGAATTTCCATACCAACGTTTGACATAATGGGTGTGAGCTAACTGATTTTATATAGAAGTAAAATATAGATATATGCAGGAAGCAATAAATAAATAATTAATCTGAGTCTGGCCTAGTTAAATGTTTAGCTGCTGGTAGTAGGAGAGAGATTAATTTAAACTGTCCAAGATGTTCCAAGGACTTTGACAAATTATAGCTGATTTTTCCTTCTTTTAATGAATCTTGTCAATGTATCAATATAGTTGATTATTGATATTTAAATTTGAAAATATAAACAATTATAAACTGGTTAAAAGATAGGAAACAAAAGGTAGGAATAAATGGTCAGTTTTCAGAATGGAGAGAGGTAAATAGTGGTGTCCTCAGGGGTCTGTACTGGGATCAGTCCTATTCAACATATTCATAAATGATATGGAAAAAGGGGTAAACAGTGAAGTGCAAAATTTGCAGATGATACAAAACTACTCAAGATAGTTAAGTCCAAAGCAGACTGTGAAGAGCTACAAAAGGATCTCTCAAAACTGGGTGACTGGGCAACAAAATGGCAGATGAAATTCAATGTTGATAAATGCAAAGTAATGCACACTGGAAAACATAATCCCAACTATACATATAAAATGATGGGGTCTAAATTAGCTGTGACGACTCAAGAAAGAGATCTTGGAGTCATTGTGGATAGTTCTCTGAAAACATCCACTTAATGTGCAGCGGCAGTCAAAAAGCGAACAGAATGTTGGGAATTATTAAGAAAGGGATAGATAATAAGACAGAAAATATCATATTGCCTCTATATAAACCCATGGTACACCCAAATCTTGAACACTGCGTTCAGATGTGGTCGCCCCATCTCAAAAAAGATATATTGGAATTGGAAAAGGTTCAGAAAAGGGCAACAAAAATTATTAGGAGTATGGAACGGCTGCCGTATGAGGGGAGATTAATAAAATTGGGACTTTTCAGCTTGGAAAAGAGACAACTAAGGGGGGATATGATAGAGGTCTATAAAATCATGACTGGTGTGGAGAAAGTAAACAAGGAAGTGTTATTTACTCCTTCTCAAAACACAAGAACTAGGGGTCGCCAAATGAAATTAACAGGCAGCAGGTTTAAAACAAACAAAAGGAAGCATTTTTTCATACAACGCACAGTCAGCCGGTGGAACTCTTTGCCAGAGGATGTTGTGAAGGCCAAGACTATAAAAGAACTAGATAAATTCATGGAGGATAGGTCCATCAAGGACTATTTGCCAGGATTGGCAGGGATGGTGTCCCTAGTCCCTGTTTGCCAGAAGCTGGGAATGGGCAACAGGGGATGGATCACTTGATGATTGCCTGTTCTGTTCATTCCCTCTGGGGCACCTGGCATTGGCCACTGTCAGAAGATAGGATACTGGGCTAGATGGACCTTTGGTCTGACCCAGTATGGCTGTTCTTATGTTCTTATTATTAATAAGCATAGAATTTGCAGCATCCAGCAGAAAAGTAATACAGATGTGGGAGCGAATTATTCCAAAAAGCCCCATTTTCTGAATCACTGTGAGTTTGTAACTAATCTTTGGCCACTTCAGAACACTCACTTGTAACTATGCTGCACACCATTATCCCTCAGATGTCCTCCAGAATGATAACAGGATAAGAAAATAATTCCTCTCGCTCCAAAGGCCTTTCCCACTACTATTGGAGCTAAAGGAGAATATCAGTTAGGTGTTGCACCAGAGGGTCTGTTTTACACAGGCACAAGCTGCTCTTTGTGAGTGGAGACATGTGCCTGCATGGAGAAACTTGCAGGACTGAGGTGGTTACACTGTGCTGCACAAGTTGCGAGCACCAGGGATTGACAATGTCTGTGTCCTGCCTTATAAACAAAGCATTCCTTTTTCTGCTAACTAGACCCATATACTTGCTTTTCTCTATCGGGAGGGACATTATTCAGCCTAATATTCATGCTGAAGCTGTTCTGATTCCATTCAGTAAAGGGCAGTAATTAGAACTGACAGTGTAGGGGCCAGATGTCAAGTATCAGAGCTGGAGTCAGGAACCAGGAGCAGAGTAGGAGCAAGAGTGATCGATCAACAGCTGCTAGGCTGAAGCACTAAGCAACCAGTAACTGCTGCTGCTGAGTTTAAAAGCAGGCCGCCTGGCTCCCTTCAGCCAATCAGGCAGTCCTACACAATGCAGCTGAGCTCATTAATCTGCCTGGAGGTTGGGCTTGACTAATCCTCAAACTCAGCTGAAGGCGCTCAATCCTGGCAGACAGACACCAACAATTCCCAATGGCGGTAACTTGCAAGATTTCAGAATTTGTTGTCATGCCAGGCTGGAACAAAAATAAAACCTTTCAGAGGTTTTCACAAAAACCAGGTTCCAGTCTCTGCTCAGCCTGATTCAGAGTAGAGTTTTTCCTCCCAAATCGTTCTCAATCAGGCAGAGTAGGGACTTAAATCTGTCCTCAAACAACAGCGCCGTAGTCACCCAGCCATAGAGAATCTCTTCACTCTCTTTTCAACCTTCCTGACAAAAGTTTAATGGAAACTGATATGTCCCCACAAAACATTTCAGCTTCCCAAAACAGCATATTTTGCCAAAATGAAATTTCAGAACATTTTCACTGACCATCTCCAGCAGTTGGACACACTGGTCAGTTCACTATTATTTAATCACTATCCTAATCTCAGTTTAATATAATATAAATTCTTTTCTTTTTGAATGTAGTTCAGTGTAAAGATGTAAGGAGTTGATAGTATTGTTCCATGAGAAATTTAAAAGGCCACTGATTTAATGTGTGGTAAATTACTCATGATTGGAGATGGGATCAAGCCATAACATTTTTACCTGGATTTTGAATCCCCTCCTCCAGTTTCAGAAACATTCAGTTGCCGGGGTATAGTTCAGCTAGCTGCAAAATTTAGGTCTGGACCCCAGTTTGGATTCTAAACAACCCTTGAGACTGGAAAAGTTTGGATCCCAGAATTTTAACCAAGTTACATTTCTATGATCTGTTGCTATGGGTATTGCTGTAGACTTGTGGGGTTTAAGCATTAATGGAAAAGAATCTCTGCAAATGTTTAACAGGACATTGCCAATTTGCAAAAAGATCAGTTTGTTTATTTTGTACATTTGACAGCACACCATGTATAGTCAGTTTCACTGTTTTCCACTCTATCGTTAATTAGTTTCAGACATATTTTGAAAGTTGGCCACTGATTCTGGGTGATTAGTGTGAGATGCCACAGACCTGATTTTCAGAAATGCTGAGCCACAAAACTTCACCTGGAGTTTTGGGTGCTCAGCACCTCTGAAAAATCAGGTCCAAGGCATTCCACTTTGGAGACCCAAATCAATGCCACTTGAAAATTCTGGCGTTAATCAGTTCCCCCTGATGTTTTTATGGCTCTTTCACATAGCAACAGGGGAGAAAATAAAAATATAGGAAACTGTGATTGTAAAACCACAAAAAATTACAGGGATATTTAGGAACAAATGTAGGACCTGACGCTACTTTGTTTATTTTTAGGTTTTTGTAATTCATCTGATTTCAAGTTGGCAGTGTCATTTTAAATGTGATTGGTGGCACCATGGCATGGATGATTCTTTGTGATCACAATTTGCTAACTTCTCTTCTCCCCTAATCCCACCGCACAAAATTGTCAGTGGAATTTTATACATTCTTCTGATTTCTTTTGCACTGCATTTCTGTTGCTCTCTGAATTGCATAACAAAGACAAATGCCATTAAATAAATATCACTAAAAATAATCTTTAAGGCTGAGTAAAGCATTTTAACATGAAAACAATGAACTCTATTTCCTTTATGTTTGAAATCTATTGTGCATCGATAAAGACAATATGTTCTATATATCATCTGGAAGGGATATACTTTGGGGTGGGCCTAATGTTTCTGGACTTTCATTTTATTTGGTTTTCTCACGGCTCCCTTATCAAATAAAGAATTTTAAAGAGGCCTGGCTGATTAAAAGCTCTCTGAAGCAGAAACCTAGTTTTCTGTGTTATGTTAGGTGCCTTCTACACCTTTGGGTGTGGTATAAATAATACACAACTTGCCACACTGACTCAGCCAAGCTTTCTCCCACACGCTGTAGGAGCTTGTATGAGACACCAGGGTAAGAGAGATACGGGGCCACTGTAACTCCATGACTTCACTGGAGTTAGTCTTGATTTATACCATTGTAAATTAGAGGAAAATCAGGCCCACAAGCTATGCACCTCTCCATTCACCTTCCAAGGTCTTGAGATAAACAAGATTCACTCAGCACTGGCTCTCTTTGTTGTATACAGAGAATACCCATTCTTATGCATCTTATCTTGTTCCCATTGAAGTCAATGGCAAAATTATCTGGTTACTAGGACTTTATTTATAGCTATAATACTCAAAGAATAGACAAGGACACCATGAAAGATAGACTC